CGCTCACCGGGAGCGCGCGCGTGGCGGCGGCCAGATTTCCTTCGCGCGCTTGCCGGCCGGGGTTTCCACTTTCGAGTCGGTCGCCGCGAGCCGAGTCCGTGATTGCGCTCCCTCCCGGCGCATGCGTCGTCAGTGACCCCGGGCTCCGCGGCCGGCCGAACCCGGCGATCGCCCCTCCCCTCACGGCCTTCCCGGGCGCGCCGCCGTGCGCATGCGACTTGCCCCGTTAGGCGGCGCGGACCCGGGCCAGAGGATCCCGGGCGCCCGGGGAGACTCCGCGCCCGCGGGCCATCGTCCGCGCGCTCCGGGGCTGCCGAGGGAACCTCGGCCCGCGTCTGCCCGGAGGAAAGCCGAGGAGGCGCGGCCTGGCCGGGCTGAGGGTGCGACCGCGCCGCGGAGCGGAGACTCTGGGTCCTGGTGACTTGGGCTCCTCACCCGGGATCCCAGGAGCTCCCTGCTGGGCCAGGGGTCCCGAGGCCCGGAAAGGGCGCCTCTCCCCCGCGTGGAGCAAGCACTTGGCCCTGGTCTCCCGGGTTGGAGGTTGCGGAGTGGGGGGACGGCCGGCGGAGGCACCTCGGGTCTCGGGAGGAGCGCGATCGGGCCGCTTCCCGCCGTACTTCCCTCCGGTACCGGAGGACGGGGGCCAGCGCGGCCGCGGGGAGCACGCGGGGAGGCCGGGCATTCGCTCCTTTGCGCGCTCCCTTACGGCCTTGAATGACAAGCCCAGGGACCCTGTCGAGGAAGATGGGGGTGGCGCGGTGGGGAGCAACCCGAGCTCGTACCAAGCCTGCCCTGACGCCTTGGTTAGCGCGTCTAAACGCCTGGAAAGGAAATCTCTTGTAGTCCTAGTTCCTAGAGGTTTCCGTTTTGATTTGAATTTGTATTTTCTAAAAAATACAGTTTGCTCAGGTGGCTCTAAAATCTTCTCCCCCCCAAGGCAACTTTAACCTCAGTAAATCCTTCCAAGCCTTGCTGTAATCAGAGAAAAAGGCTAGCTTAACCCGGCATGGTGGTTGCACCCCTGAATCCCAACCCTTACTGTTCCCCTGAGGATGCTCCCATCGAGTGGGAAAACATGATTTGTTCATTGCCCCCATCATATGGCAGAAGGGATTTTAGTGAACGTTTCCGTGTGTTTCCATTTCCGATTCATATTTGAGTCCGTCTTCGGTCTTAAGCTGCGCTTACCAAAAGGGGTATTATCTCTTTTGCAATTTGAGTCTGAAAGCCATCTTTGCATACATGAATAATGATAAAGTACTATGAAAAAATGAACATATTCAAAGATGGAGATTCGGTTTACACACTTTTTGATGCCCCCAAACCAGTGTGAAGTAGGTTCCTCTGGAATATTCTGTTACACTAATCAGTAAGTTGGATGTGTTTGTTTTATTGCCTAAATTAGAAGTTTTCTTTTACCGCAGTTGAGAGTTCTGATACTGGTAAGGTAGCAAGAGATGAGATGAGAAGTTACTAATACTGATAAAGTAGGTTCTAGCCAACCAAGAGTTTGAATACTTTTCCTAGGATAGAGTTTCATTAGAGGAAAAGTGACCCGTTCTCATATTCCCAGGCTCTAGAACATATTTTGAGAAATACCTTTGCCCTTTTTATTGGTTCCACTGCCCCTTGAGTCACCGGATAGAACTGTGTTCACCTCTGACTCCTCCCTCTCTCACATTATGTGTTTAATTATTTACCAAGACCTGTTAATATACTTTTTGTTGTCTCATATTCTCTCCAAGAAAAAAATAATTGGGCATCTAAATATATTTCTCAAAGCTAGGAGTGTAGCAAAAAGAGGGGGATGAATGACCATATCTCCTGCTGAGTAAAGAACTGTGCAGCAGGAGGCTGTGTCTCTTATTAACTATGGATTCTCCATTAAAAGAAATTTGTTACTATTCTCCCTCTCAGTCCCCAATACCAAAGGGATGGACTGAGAAAGGAAAGAAAAAGTACCGGTTGAAAACAAACTTCCTTCAAAGCTAGCCTGAGCTACACTGCAAAACCCTGACCAAAAGGAAAAAATAAAGACCTAACAAACTAAGGAAAGCACCTTCCATTTTCAGAGTTCTTGGAGTCACAAGTTCATCCCTAGAATTTTTGGCTTGAGATTAGAGTTTCATACTAGATAGATTGAATAACCTAGAGTGGAAGAGTTAAGAAACAATCAGATTTGCTGCCTGGTGCATCTCTTAAGTTTCATGTGCATACAGATTGCCTAGGATCTCATGAAAATGAAAATTCCAACTCTATGATAGGGCCAGTTATGGTTCTAACAAGTTTCCTGAGCATGGGTCTGGTGTGAGGATCACACTTTGACAAACAAGATGCTATAAAATAGAGGAGTTTCAGTAGAGCACAGTAGATTAAAAAATGTAGGAAATATCTATTTTGTAGGTTGAATATCAGCTATTAATAACTCTTAGCTGGGTATGATAGTTCATGCTAATAATCCCAGCACCCTGGGAGACTGATACAGAAGGATCTTAAGTTTGAGGCCAGCCTGGGCCAGATAAGTGAGAATTTCTCACACCAACAACAAAATACCTCAAAACTTCTAATCATAAAGTAACAGTTCATTCTCAATAAAGTGGGAATTTTACTTAAGTGAGAATATGTATGCAAGTAGTAGTAACCTGTATTGGTAAGTTTGAGTCCTTTCTAGAAGGATATGTGTGTATTGCTGAAGAGTGAAGCTGGAATTACAACCAGGCAGTTATGACATGTTATAATTTTATGTTTTACAAATACTAAAATCATAAAAATTTAATTGCCCCTTTATAGATCTGAGTTAAGGGGAAAATACTTTCACTTAAGCTAGCCTATTTAACTTGAATATGACAACTTGAATATTAACTTGAATGACAACTGTTTTTAAAAGAAAAAGATTATGTATGAGGGGATGTCTCACAATTGATTTCAACTGGCAGGGAAATTGTGTTGATACTTAAGTGAATTAGAAGACACTAACTAACATTACATTGTGCCTTTATGATAAGATAGCTCTTTTGTTTCCACTACTATTGTGTCCTGAATAGGAATTTACCTCCAATATCTTAACGTCTCTGACGTGATTTTACCTTAGCTGACAAAATAATCAATACTTTTATCTATTAAGACACCCTCCTGCCAGTAGGAATAGAAGGCCCTTTCTTTACTCTGTTAGTTAAATTACCTCCATTTTCACCAATTTATTTCTGATATTAGCCATTTAAGCTTGTATAGATGCTCTCACAAATATCATTCAGCATTGCTAATTACAATTATGTATTATGTATTGTCAATAAACACCAAGGAGGAGAATAAAATGTTTCTGAACTGAAGGTGTTTTTGGGTTTACCAACCTTTCCTCTATAAGTCATGTTCATTTTTTTTCCCAAGATACAACATTCTACAGATCTTCTGTAATGTCCTACTAATGTGTTTCTTCATAAGTTCTGTGATGAATATTAAAACAAAGGTTAGTCCCACAATGTATTTTTTATCACCTTGCCTTAAGGATTTAGAAATTTGCATAGCATACTGTTCTAATTATCCTATAATTAACTACTTAGTAATTTTGTGACAATAATATAGCTAATTAAAGCAATAATGAATAAGGATATTTCCTTAGCACTTTTCAGAATCATTAAGTTGTAATATGTTATTAAGTTGCTTTTTTAATAAGTAAGGGACTTTAAAGAAAAAGTATATGGTTATAAAAATAAGAACTTACTTGAAGATCCATAAATAATAGACTTAAAATGTGTTTGCTGAAATTTCTGAAATTTTTTGAGTCTTTTTTATTTTTTTCTTTGGAAAGTCGCTTTGGAAGTGAGTAGGCATCACAGGGACTTGTGATATTTGTGTTTTTGTCCAACTTGAGAAAAAAGACACACCACAGAAAAGTATTTAGGAGTAAACAGAAGTTTTAGTTTGTCAAAGACAATGAATTTTCTGATACACCTGGAATTTTTTGATGTGCTGTAAGAACTATAATTTTAATATAAAATGAAAAATAGATCTATGTATGAACTTTCTGATCTCTATGAATGATAGAGTATGAAAGATAAAGTATTCAGCAAATGTGCACTTTAACACAATTTATTAAATATTTCTATTTGGTATCATTATCACTGTTTGAACTGTCACCATCATCATAAATAGAAGTGTTTCTAATTGAAGATACCATCATATCTGCAATGCCTTTTCTGGGATTTTCTTCTAAATCAGTCTCTATTGCTCCAACTTCAGCTAGCTTCCACTCAAGTTCTGAAATAAATAACCCATCATTAAACTGGATAAAAAGTTTGGAAAAAAAGAAACATGAAATTACTCATCTGTACTGGTAACTGTAAATCTATAGGTGACTCAAATAAAAATTAATGTCTAAATGAGGATATATTTAAAACCCCATTAACTAAAATATTGTAGGTGAAGGCCTGGCTCAATTTGTAGAATACTTGCCTAACTACATGAGGCTCTGAGTTCAAACTCCACTACTGTCAAAAAATGAAAATAAATGGCTTGCACCTTCATATCAAGATGAAAAGGGGAAAAAACTAAGGAAAGTAGAAAGATATATTGAGAAAACAGCAAAAGCAATAGTCCTGTGCTGTGTTTGAAAAATAAAATGGGAGAAATGCATTTGTTAGGGATATGAGTCTCAAAGAGAATGGAGTAAGTGGTAGAAAATGAATACACATGCTATAGACATTCCATCAAGAAGAAAATAAATGAGTAATAAGTCTAGGATTTCATAATGAGACCCATAGAATTGGGTTTGGATCAGGAGAACAAAGCACAGGGAATTTTAGGTATAAGGAAATGGGTAAAACAAAGTGTGATGGCCCAGATGAGTATGTCTAGGGGTAGGGCTGAAGAGCAGCCAGCTGGCAGCAAGCATTAAAATACACTGAGAAGTTCAACTGGAGAGGTAGGCTGAAAGACTAATTTGTAAACTTATTTTAGACAGGAAACCATTAAAGGTTTTCTGCAAAGGGTGTTAGGATAAGAGTATTATTGCTGGAAACTGATCTGGAGGCAAGGGAAACACTATGGTTTAAGGAAATAAACTTTCTTGATACTCTATACCAGCTATTTTTATAAATAAACCAAAAATAACATCATTACCTTCTAGCTTGAGATTTATCCCTCCACATTCTATAATACCAATGAATTTGCCTTCTATCTGACCATTTTTATAAACAAAAATTGTTGGTAAGCAGTTATCATGGTAGTGTTGAATGCAGCTATTCACGATGGCTTTAACAAATTTAGTTTCTGGAAACTTTTTTGCTAGGAGACTAAGCTGATGGTTAACCAACAAACACATTGGGATGCTGAAAAGAGAAACAGTACACATAATATATTTAAGAACAAACTATTCACCTCAATGTAATAAAATGTATAAAAACATCTTTATGACAAAAATATATCTTTAGTTTCTCATAAAAGTATAGCCTTATCCTCCACTGTCAATTTTAGCAAAGCTAAAACTATGTGTAGAGTCCTCGAGTTTTTATTGGAAGTGCCACTATGGCCTGGGAAGGAAATAACTACTGTGAAAGTCTGGCGCCTAATATAGGCAAACTACATTCAACTCTGGTCGGTAGGTCATGGGGGTAGGGGAAATACAAAAACAACTGAGGTCCAGACAATGTTTGGCTCTTCTAGTTGAAATAAAGAGGCCTTACTCATTACCATCATGTATTAACATGATGAGCTCATACCCAAAGCTCCTCAACTCAGACATCTACATAGCTGTCCTCATACAGAATTATCTCATCAGAAATTAAATTGTTTGGAAGTGTGATCAAAACTTCCAATTCTTCCTGTGATACCTATTTTTCAACTAGCCCCTTACCTCTAATTTATAACAGCCTTACCAAATAGTTTTAGGGCTAATCCTGCCTCCTGTACCTTATTCTCTTCCCTTTCATAAGGCACTTTCTTTGTTATTCTGTTTTCTTCTTCTGATTCCCCACCCCACCTTCTCTTGTTGATTGTGGGGTACGGGGCCTGAACTCTGGGCCTGGGCATTGATTGTGGGGTACGGGGCCGGAACTCTGGGCCTGGGCATTGTCCCTCAGCTCTTCAGCTCAAGGCTAGCGCTCTTGAGCCACAGAGCCACTTCCAGCTTTTTCTGCTTATGTGGTGCTGAGGAATCATACCCAGGACCTCATGCATGGAAGGCAAGCACTCTTCCACTGAGCCACTTTCCCAGCCCCCCTCTCCTCTCTCTTCCTCCCCCCTCTCTTGCCCTTTCTCTCTCCCTCTCTCCCTTCTTTACCCCCTTCCGCCCTCTCTCTGTTCAATTCACAAAATCTTAATACCTTACAATTGAGTCCTTTTCTAATAACCATTCTTTCCTCTAGTTACAGCCCTGGTGATAACCTAGTAGTCTGTATGTTTTGCTCACTTCCATTCTTGAAATGACCTTTCTGTTTGACCTCTGTGGTAAGACTTACTATTGATTTATCTTTTTTTCCTTTTTCTTTTTGTTGGTCCTGGGGCTTGAACTCAGAGCTTGGGCACTGTCCCTGAGCTTTTTCTGCTCAAGGCTAGTGCTCTACCACTTTAAGCCACAGCACCAATTCCCATTTTCTGGTGGTTAATTAGAGATAAGAGTCTCATGGGCTTTGCTGCCCAGCTAGCTTGGAACCAAATCTCAGCCTCCTGGAAAGCTAGGATTAGGCACAAGCCACCAACCAGTGCCTGGCTATTGATTTTCTTTTAACCTTTCTAATTTCCTTCTGTTTTCTCTGCCACAAATACGAATCCCCTTACAGCTATTTTTCTTACTGCAGATACATCCCCCAAAGAACTCTAAACTACCAGTAGTAGATGAATTTCCTCCTCTTTCACCCCTCCAAAAAAAAACCCTAATCTTTCTCCTATATTTTATTAGGTTGGTTTGTGGGCTAAACTTTTTCTTCTACAGCATCTAATATTTAATCAATCGAGTCATACTGATTTCATCTCCCTGTTTCATATCTGTTCGCTCTTCTTTGTTTTTTTTCTATTGCTGTACTCTTTTTTATCTGACCTATATTAGATTACCTAATCTGTTGTATTTTTGTATTTTCTTCCTTTTTTTGTGGTGCTAAGGATCAACTCCAAGAATTTGCACATGTTAAAACAAGACAATCCCTCCCAATGCCAAATTTTATTTCTTATCATCAAAAAAAAAAAAAAAACTAGCCAGGTGTCAGAGGCTTATAGCTACAGAATGAGGGTCATGACTCAAAACCAGCGTAGGCAGGAAAGCCTGAGAGACTCCTGTCTCTAATTAGCCACCACAAAAGCCAGAAGTTGAGCTGTGACATAAGTGATAGAATGCTAACATTGAGTAAAAATGCTCAGGGACTTAGGCCCTGAGTTCAAGCCCCAGGGTCAGCACAAAAAAGGAAGAAAAGAAAACCATTCTGGAAGTTCTCAATGAAATTTGACTGCAAAACTGATGAATTAGTAAATCTTAGTGCTAAAATTTGCATAAATTGCTCTGAGTTTCTCAAAGAACCTGAAGAGAGATTAATGAGACAAGGACTTGTGGCAACAAGGCTGCTGTCATAGTTTCTGTCCATGGTCTGCAGCTCTGAGGAACTGTCCAGAGGGACAATTTGAATAAACTTGGGGGAAAAGTCTACTTCTCAGTTACTTCTGTACTAGGTCAGTGAGTCCTAGAAATGTTTGACTAATTGTAATTAGTAAACAAGGCACTTTAAAATTAACTGTTGGGGGAATGGGAAAGTGCAGGGGAATTTCCTACTAATGGACCCTAAAGAGACATTAAATAGCTATAGGTACTGCCTGATCCTTGATTGACTATTCACAGTATGTGTATTTTATTGCCTGGTGCTAGTGGCTCACACCTATGATCCTAGCTACGCAGTACAGAAAGTCTGAAGCTTATCTCCAATTAATTGCCAAAAAGTTGGAAGTAGAGCTTTGACTCAAGTGGTAGAATACCAGCCTTGAGCAAAAAAAGTTAAGGGACAGAGCTCAGGCCCTGAGTTTAAGCCTTACCCACAACAAACAAACAAAATATATGTATTTATTAAATCTGGAGATACTTGGGAAAACTTGAGTGGGGAATAGGTATTAGAAATTGTTAGGAATTGGGGCTGGGAAGGTGGCTCAGTGGTAGAGCGCTTGCCTTGTATGCTTGAGGCCCTGGGTTCGATTCCTCAGCACCACATAAGCAAAAAGAAAAAAGCCGGAAGTGGCAGTGTGGCTCAAGTGGTAGAGCGCTAGCCTTGAGCTGAAGAGCTGAGGGACAGCGCCCAGGCCCAGAGTTCAGGCCCCACGACTGGACCCAAAAATAAATAAATAAATAAATAAATTGTTAGGAATTACTGTTAACTTTGTTAGATGAGGAAATGCTACTGCAGTTAGGTAGAAGAACATCTTGAAGGGGAATATGCCATCCCTAAATATGGCACTCTGACACAAGGTCTACTGTGAGTTGGAAGCAACTAAGAACAAACACAAAAGACAACCTTTCTGCCTTCCATCTCCATAGCAAGAATGGCAGAATGACTTTAAGTCACTCAACTCAGCCCAGAGAAATACCAGAGGAGAAAAAATAGTATTAGAGAGGGAAAGAGAGAAAGAGAGAGAGAGAGAGAGGGAGAGGGAGAGAGGGAGGGAGAGGAGAGAGAAACCTTCCTAAAACAACCTTTATGTCCCATTCATTTACTTATAAACTAAGCGCACTCTCTTTTGTCTTGTCTAAAATGTTAGATGTCTAAAAATGGTAAGATACTACATAAGCCCATTTTCACATCTCTTCCACATACATCTCACCAAGTTCTTCCCATTAATAGACTTGTGTTTGTTTTGTTCATCAATCTCTCTTTTCTCAGTCAGACAGGTATAGAAAACTTTTACCTAAGAGTCTTTGTCCCTATTTTTTTTAAATGTAGACTGAAGTACTTAGTATGTATGCTTAGTAGTTAATTATCATACTGGTGTATAATTTACTTTGAAATCATTCTGAAAATGCAAAAACACATCCATACACAGAAACAATGACAGTACACAGTGCAAAATGTTTACTGTTGAATCTACACGATGGATATTTAGGATGCTTGTCTTCCTGTTCTATTTTTCTATAAATTTCAAATTTTTCCTAATAAAAGATTTTACCTACTATCAGAGTGATTATTTTTCTAATTTAATGTGATAAGCTCTTCAAATGACAAATGAATATATTTTAAAATACCTAATTTAATCTAAAGCCAATGACTAAGTAAAACTATAGATGTGGTTATATGTAAGACCCATAAATAATACAATAGCATACTAGTTTCTTAAATACTCTGTTATATGTAGAATAGACCCTTAAAGCCAAAAAAGATTGTTTAAAACATTAGTACATTAATATTTTTCCTAATATGTTCTTTTTTAATTTTAGGCTACTTTACACTATTCCATAATAATATATCAATTTTGGACATTATGTGCTATTTCTTGAAAAAGATAAGAAGAATCGGGCTTTCTCACTCACACTTTGTATCAGTGAACAGAAAGTTGCCTTCATGGTTCATTTACTTGTCCATATTTCTTATATACATATTTAGTATTCAAATTACTTTCATAATAAAATATTGCATTAATATTTTTAAACACTCTGGTAATTACCTTGATCGGTATAGGTGAATTATAACCCATAAATCTTTTTCTGCATTTGTGACTTCATTCACATATTGATTTCCAGAAATTTCTCTTAATTCCCCAAACTTTTGTTTTTTCTTAAGTGCATTCCATTCCTGTAAACGCTTTTTTCTAATGTAAAAAAAAAGATACATTAAAAATGTTATTTTCATAAGATCATTGAGAATACAGTGAGTTTGGAACAATAATTAATGCCCTTATACATTAAACAACTTAAATGAGAAGATAATCATTAATGAGATAACCAAGTCATTTTACTTTTTTAATGTAGTCTTTATGGTATCATGGGTATAGCAAAGTAAAAGAAATTTGCTTTGACTTTTATGTAAGACTAGGTTATTTAGACATTGGGCGGACAAAGCATCATGCACAGTTAAAACCTCAGGAGAGAATATGTAGTAATAATAACTATTGAGCACCTGTTATATTGCTACTATTTTGTTTTTAATATTTTTAAATAGTGTATATTGATCATACAGAGGAGTTTCACTGTCATATTTGATATATGCACATAATGTACTTTGATCAAATTCACCAACATAAATTCACCCAATCAATTAGTCTTTGAATATCCTCCTTCCCTGCTTTTAAACAATTGAAAGAGGTTGCATTATTCTACATTTATGCATATATAAAGTATGCTAATAATATTTATATGACCCCCCCATTACCTCTCCTTTCACCTTCCCCTTTTTGGTGGTACCCTTCCCCAAAGACTCCTCCCTATTTCACACATTGTGTCATCTTTAAAAAAAAAAAAAGAGGTGGAGATTCTACATATGTGAGAGAAGATGTGGCATTTGTCTTTCTCAGTCTGACTTTATTTCATTTAACATAATGATCTCCAGTTCCATCCATTTTTTCTGGATGACAAGTTCATTTTTCTTGATGGGTAAATAATACTCCATTGTGAATATATATCATATACATAAATTTTTTATCCATTCATCAGTTGAGCTAATGAAGCAGATTACTTTGGCTACTATGAATAGCACTGCATAAACATAGGTATGTAAGTATCACTAGTATATGCAGACTTAGACTCATTACATATATGAACAAGAGTGGTATAATAGCAGAATTATATGGTATTCTATTTTTAGTTTTCTTTTTTCTTTTTTTGGCCAGTAGTGGGGCTTGGACTCAGGGTCTGGGCACTGTCCCTGAGCTTCTTTTGCTCAAGACTAGCACTCTACCACTTGAGCCACAGTGCCACTTCCAGCTTTTTCTGTTTATGTGGTACTGAGGAATCAAATCCATGGCTTCATGCATGCTAGGTGAACACTCTACCACTAAGCTACATTCCCAACCCTATTTTTAATTTTTTAAGGAATCACATTGGAGACGCTTTTTGCCTTCTTAGGTCTATTCCTAAGTTTTTAAATTTTTGCTTAAGCCTGTTATGAATAGGATTTTTTCCTGATATCTTTCTCAGCCTATTTGTTTTTGAAAAAACTGATTTTTGTTTTGCATGTTGATTTTGTATGCTACTCCTTTGCTGAACACATTTATCAGATCTAAGAGGTTTTTAGTGGAATCTTTATTGTCTTTTAAGTGCAGGATCATATCTGCAGGTAGAGATAATTTGACTTCTTCTTGTTCTATTTGCATTCCTTTTATCTTACCTTGTTGCTGAGGTTAAGAATTCTAGCACTACATTGAATAAGAATGGAGAGAGTGAATATCCTTGTTTTTTGTTCCTAACTTTAAAGGAAATGATTTGTTTTTCCCCATTTAGAATGATGTTGGATATAGCTTTATTGTATATAGCTTTTATTATGTTAAGGTCATTATTCCTGTTCCTGATTTCTTCTACGCTTTTATCTCAGAGTTAAATTTTGTCAAAGACTTTTATTTCCTGCATCTACAGGATGAATATGTGATTGGGGCCTTTATTCTATTGTGTTCTGTATTGCATTTATTGATTTACATATGATGAAATGTCTTGTACCTTGGAAGGAAACCAACTGGATCAAAGGATCAGAGTGTATAATCCTTTGAATATGTTGTTGAATTATTTGCAAGTATTTTATTAAGAATTTTTACATCTTTGATGATCAAGGAAATAGGTCTATACTTTGTTGTTGTTATGTCCTCACCAAATTTTGGTATTAGGGTAGTACTGGCTTCATAGAATGGTTCAGTAGCATTGTTTTCCTTTCTCTTTTATAGAAAAGTGTGAGGATGATTTGTGTTAGTTCTTTAAAGGTCTAGTAGAGTTCATCAGTGAATCTATGATCCTGTCTTAGGCTTTTCTGTTGGAAGTCTATTACTGCTTCAATTTTGTTCCTTTGTATAGATAGGTCTTTTTAGGTAGTTTAGATCTTCTTTGCTCAACTTTTTTTTTGGGGGGGGGGAGGGGAACCTTGAACTCAGGGTGTAGGTGCTCTCCCTGAGCCTCTTTGTGCTCAAGACAAGCACTATACCACTTGAGCCACAGGGCCACTTCTGTTTTTTGAGTAGTTAATTAGAGATAAGAGTCTCCTGTGGACTATTTTTCTGCCCAGGCTGGCTTTGAACCACAATACTTAGATCTCAGCTTCCTGCGTAGCTATTGGCTACTCAGCTATTTTCGGTTGTAATGTTTGCTCTGGGCCTGGGTGCTGTCCCTGAGCTCTTCAGTTCAAGGCGAGTGCTCTACCATTTGAGCCACAGTACCACTTCCAGTTTTGGTAGTTAATTGGAAATAAGAGTCTCACAGACTTTCCTGCCTGGGCTGGCGTTGAACTGCATCCTATCTCAGCTTCCTGAGTAGCTAGGATTACAGGTGTGAGCCACCTGGGCTCAGCTTGGCTCAAGTTTTGTTTTTGTTTTTGTCGGTTGTGGGGCCTGAACTCTGGGCCTGGACACTGTCCCTCAGCTCTTCAGTTCAAGGAGAGAGCTTTACCACTTGAGCCACAAAGCCACTTCTGGCTTTTTCTGCTTATGTGGTTCTGAGAAATTAAACCCAGGGCCTCATGCATGCAAGGCAAGCGCTCTACCACTGAGCCACCTTCCAGCCCTTGGCTCACCTTTTACAGGTCATATACATGTATAAATTTATCTATTCTAGAATTTCTAGTGTATTTGAATATAAGTCTCCAAAGTATTCCCCAATGATCGGAATTTCATTGGCATTTGCTGTAATAGTCTCTCTGTAATCTTATTGAGTCTTTCTTTTCATTAGTTTGGCTAAGGGTGTGTCAATTTCATTTTCTTTTCAAATAGCTGGCTTTTGTTTTCATTGACTATTTTTATTCTTCTTTTTTTTTTTTTTGGTCAGTTGTGGGGCCTGAACTCTGGGCCCAGGCGCTGTCCCTCAGCTTTTCAGCTCAAGGCTAACACCCTACCACTTGAGCCACAGAGCCACTTCTGGCGTTTTTCTGCTTAGGCGGTGCTGAGGAATTGAACTCAGGGCCTCATGCATGCAAGGCAAGTGCTCTACCACTAAGCCACCGTCCCAGCCCCTTATTATTTTTTTAGTGTTCATTTAATTAATTTCTACCTCAATTTCTTTCTACCTACTGCTTTTGAGTTTGGCTCATTATTCTTTTAGTAAGAGCTTGGGTGAATTATTAGGTTATTTATTTGAGATCATTCTCATTTTTTTTTTTTTTTTGGTCAGTCATGGGGCTTGAACTCTGGGCTTGGGCGCTGTCCCTGTGCTTTTCAGCTCAAGACGAACATTCTACTGCTTAAGCCACAGCGCCACTTCCTCATTCTGATTTTTTAATGTAGGCACTTATAGTTATAAACTTTCTAAGTTATAAAGAAAAGGTCTATAAAGAGCAATTAAATGCTTTTTTGTGATTTTAACCTATGGGTTACTTCTTTAGGCTAGGTAGCCGAGAGCCTACTCTACCTTGCATAGTCCTACCATAATGAAGGCTTATACTCATGATTTCCTCTTATTCCTTCTGATGCCTCAACAGTTCCTGTGTGGCCCTGTATATGTGGCAAGATGAAGCTCCTCCTCTTGGGAACTGTAACAAACTCACACTTTGCAATGGCAATCATATCTCACTCATAGTTGAATAAAAACAAAATCCTGGGTATATTTTAAAACCCTCTGACATTGCCAGGTGCTAGTGGCTCATGACTGTAATCCTAGCTACTTAAGAGTCTGAGTTCTCAGGCTGGGAAGGTGGCTCAGTGGTTGAGTGCTTGCCTTGCATGCGTGAGGCCCTGGGTTCAATTCCTCAGCACCACACAAGCAGAAAAAAAAAAGCCAGAAGTGGCGCTGTGGCTCAAGTGGTAGAGTGCTAGCCTTGAGCTGAAGAGCTGAGGGACAGCGCCCGGGCCCAGAGTTCAGGCCCCACGACCAGACCACCCCAACCCCCCAAAAAAGAGGCTGAGTTCTAAGGATTAAAGTTTGAAGCCAGCCTGGGCAGGAAAGTCCATGAGACTCTTATCACTAATAAACTACCAAAAAAGCTAGAAGCGAGCTGTGGTTCAAGTGGTAGCACACTAGTCTTAAGAAAAAGAATCTCGATTATAGCCATTCTAACTGAGGTGAGGTGGTATCTCAATGTTGTTTTGATTTGCATTTCTTTTATGGCTTGAGAGGTTGAGCATTTCTTCATGTGTCTATTGGCCATCCTTCTTTCCTTTTCAGAGAACTTTCTCTTTAAGTCTTTAGCCCACTTATTTATTGGGCATTTGTTTCTTTGAAGATTTGTTTTTGGGGGGATTTAATTTTTTAAGTTCCAGGTATATTTTAGATATGAGATTCTTGTCTGTTGTATGGCTAGTGAAGATCTTCTCCTAATCTGTGGGCTATAATCAAGAACTCTAATAACAACAGATGCTGGAGGGGATGTGGACAGAAGGGAACCTTACTGCATTGTTGGTGGGAGTGTAAACTTCTTCAACCA